GTTTGATTTGGTAACGGAGACTAAGGACAAATAGGAATGGATGTGATCTAATAAAGGGATAAGGTGACAGCCTCATTAGATATCCTGGGAGATGGTAGACGGACCGGGTTCATAGAAAATTCTACCGTAAACGTTGTCTCATACCAGATGAGGTATGGAGACTTGGTCATTTGGCGCTCATACCAGACGGAGTATGGGGACAACCCGCTTCACCCTCATACTGGATGAGGTATTAAGGTTTAATATCTTGACATTCATACCGGATGAGGTATGGGAACAACCTTGGAATTAAGATTATTAAGAAAAATAGTTCATGTGTAGAGGGGACACCCCTATGGATCCCCATGGATACTACTAGGTTGGTAAAACGAGAAACGATAATGATTAATTATTGTTAATGAATACGAATTTATGATATATTTTATGTTACTGATTATGCATGAAATTGTGATTTGTATGATATTATTGCTTCTATAATTTGTTTCTATAAATTCCCCAATGGTAAGAAAAAGGGTAAATAGTTTTATTTTAACTAAATGTATTGGTTTAAATCTATTACTTTATTGGTTGTTTTGATTTTCTACCAATCTTTACTTCTGTGATGGCGATATAGTGTGATGTCTTTACTGGGCTAGTGTAGCTCACCCCTTATTTAACCATTTCAGATCAGGAGGACCCGGTTTCCGAGTCCAATCCGCAAGAAGGTTACGAGTATATGCTAGATACTTTATAGTTTCTTTTATTTTTTCTATTTTTCGTATTTCTTTCAGAGAATTTATTCCGTGATGTTTGTTAGTACTTTTGAGTTATCGTGTAATGAATGTTAATCTTAGCCTTTATTTTGCTTCCGCACTCAAATTATTATATGCATTTTTTTAAAAAAATTTCGGGGTCGTTACAAGGACGACGAATACCCGTATCCTAAACAGTAAGAGACCAGTTAAAGAATTATCTCTTTCATTTCGTCAGTTTCAAGTAGATGTTAACCATATTTATTTTCTTTATATGTTTTTCCTCATTTAAGTTTCAAAAGTATTCTCATAGCCCCTATTGAACATTTTAAGTAAAGGTGTAAGGAATATAACTTTCAAATTTTAATTGCTTCCACTAAAATAATAAATTTCAGTATTGTTTATTTTATTATTATTGAATTATATGCTCTAAATTTCGAGTAAGAGTTTGAGCTCTTACAAGATAATTGAGAAAATATGGGTTGATATATTGTTATCATTGTTGTGTTAAATCTTAATAAAATATAATACCATACAAGGTATAGGTTAGTTTTAATGAATTCAAAATATTATTTATTGAATTGGTTTTATTTAGTAAATTCATTTCCTATCAAGTGAGATAGAAATGTGTATATAAATTTTTTTTTTTTGGAATATGTATATAGGTTAGTTTTTTTCAAATGTGTATACAGGGTGTAGGTTAGTTTTTGTTTTTTAAACGTGTATATAAATAAATTCAAAAGATATTCAAACATAGGATTATATAATCAATTTATCATTAAGTAATTGTTTGTAAGTTACATTCCTAACCCGTTTATATTTATTAAAATTATATTATACAATTTTTAGGTAATTTTTAAATATCAATATATAAAAATTATATATTTTATGAATTAAATAATATTTGTACATAAGTAATAACATAATTTCATAAGGATTGCAGACATAAAACAACATTTAATAAAAATATACGAATAAATGAAAACATGCTCTTATGCGAAATAATAGAAATACACACTATCCAATCAATGAATAAATCATAATATATTTTATTTGTTTTAAATTAAAATAAAAAATTACCTAATGAATTTTTTTTTTGTGTGTAAAAAATTTAATCCAAAAATAAATTTAAAAATAAAATGGTATAAATAAATAATATATTGGCTTACCATTAACCGTAAACCGTAAAGAATCTTACCCTAAATCAAGTATCAACGTCAATCTATACTAAAAAAATAGTAAAATTTACTCTTCATAGGACATTTCCAAAACACAATTTTCTTAATCTTCATCTTGGAAGCAATCAATTAATGTCGTCAAGGCCATCGGTTATCATGACAACATCAAAATGCATGTCGATATTCATAATTTACCTCTCCTAATAAATTTTTTTAAAGAGAAAATAAAAGCTAACAAATGGGTTTAATCAACAATTTTTAGAGTTTTTGCATGTCAAATAGTAAACTTAACAATACCCCAATTGAAACCCACCTAAAATTTATTGGCAAGAAATGGAAAGCTATAAAATTGAGAAGGCAAATAAATGATAGTTGACAAAAGAGGTGGGTGAGTCTCATGCATGTTATATTAAGCAAAAAAGAAACAAAAGCAACGGGCCAATTAAACTTTCCTTAGTTGCCTCCTTAAGCACATCACTTCTTTTTCATTATAAGGACAATACTCCTCTAGGTTGTGTGTACTTATTACGTGCTTTATGTTTTAAGAGAAAAACAAAATAAATATAGTATTAACCAATGGGACCAAAATGCAATTAAAAAAAAGAAAAAGAGACGTAATGGGATATTTCTATTTTTAATAAAAGTGGTTTTCTTGGGTAGCATGTTAAAAACATTTCCATATTAAGTTGCCTTGAAAAAATCTAGTTGTCTTTCATTTTCAACAACATATAATTTTATTTTATTTTATTGAATTCTATAATTATATAAATTCAGTTTTATATGATTTTTCTTAGATTCCCTAATTAGATTTCACACATTTAAATGTAGATTTAAATTTTGACATCTCATCTAGAAAAAAAAAAATTAGAAGGATGTGAGAATGGTAATTTAAAGAGAGGATTCATTCGGTGAATAAATATATATTTTTTCTTTATTTATTTATGTGAGCATTATGATAGTTAAACCTTAATTCAATTAAATACATGAAAAGTGTGCGAAAATACAATAAATGTGCTGAGTATTTAAAAATATTTTTGATAAATTATTCATTACTTAATAAAAAGCAACTATTTATAAGAAATTTGTGAGTAACAATTATTATAATAATATAATTACAATTGTTACCAAAGTAGCATTAATTATATAATTATTGTTAATAACTTATCTCTGTAATCACTAATAATGATCCGACGGACATATTTGTTAATTTATAATTATTTTTTATTGATAATAACATTTTTGTTATGATTAAAATTTTAAAGGTTTAGTCATCATATATGAATATTCATCATCTTATAATTTAAAATAATATATACATATGTCATATATGATATTATAATTACTATCTGATATATTTATTTTGAATCTATCTACACTAGTAATTTTTCAAAAATTTATTGCATCTCAATTTTAATCTAAGAATAGCATGAAGACCAATTTTACCAAGTAAATATATTTTCTCCCATCCTTTTTTTTTTTTGGTAAAACATTTGGTACATGTAAAAATAAACAATTAACAAATTACTGTGTGTATATTATGAAAAAGATTTGATATTCCCCTTATTTTATATATTCTCAAAAACCAAAGTTCAAACAAAATTACTCAAAAATTGATTTGTGGGAAACTAAATAAATATTATTTTCTCAAGAAAACCAAATATAAATAATTGAAATTTTTTCATTTTTTCTAATTTTGTCCAAAATTTGCACATAACACGAACTTTATCAAGTAGCATAATTCGAATTTCTTGATTTATTACTTAAGCATTTTTAATGTTTCCATTAAATTAATTAATTTCCGGTTGCATGTCAACTACCTAACATAATCACCACCTAATTCAAACCAATCCCCACGTATAATCAGCAAACTTATCATTGAGATAGAAATTAAAAATTAAAAAAATAAATCCTCAATTCGGCCAGCCCTTATGTTGGGCCCACACATATTTTGACGATCTCATCACCCTATGATCCAAATCAGACAGCTCACAACTCAGTCCCATTCAACAGAAATTATTTTAATGATCTTCATTATTAAATATTTGATTAACCAGGTTTAAATTTCGTTGCAGCCTTGGATTAGGGATGACGTCAGTGCGTAACCAGAAAGAAGAGTCCTTGATTAATGTTAGAATTACGGTTTAATTGAATAATTAAATTGAATATTAAGTACAAAGCTTCGAAACGACCGGACTCTCCAACGTTTTAAGCCGCTCCCAGACAAAAAAGCACCAAATGAAAATCACGTTGTTTGTAACAAACCGGAGCCCATAACGAAAACAGGATTTGAAGAAGCCACTCACCGGTTGTCCCATCCCCACGCTCCTTCAGCCACGTGCGCGCAAGTGTCAACCGCTTCGACGTTGACTGACTCCTCTTATCGGAGTTGGCACGCGCTGGGAGGGTTTCTGAGGATTACTTCCTCGACGGAGAAAACAGAAATGGGTCGGTCAGGGAAGGTCGCCCTGGAGCACGTGTGCAACACGTGAAGAGAGAGAAAGTGCGTGAAACAGAAAATGTTTGCAAAACTTTGTGTGTAAAGTGCTCGTACCGGTTTTATACATACATGGAAATGTTATCACTGTTAAAACTTATCATCGTTTATAGCTGTTGGAAATAAATGAGATTTATTATTTTTATTTACAAACTAATCAGGTTTATAATGTGTTTAGGCAACTAATTAAACTCTAAGCACTCTAATATTTATTTTTTTAAAAATCAACATTATTTTTAGATAGAAATATGTACATTAATTAAGTAATATATATAAATAATAAAAAAAAATTAATAAAAATACATAATTTTACTTAAATGTACCATGCCTTATGCAAAAAAAGAAAGTACACGAGTGCCAGTCAAAAAATAATTGATAAACACTATAATTTCTTGCAATAGATAAAAGCCACACGAGTATACTTCCGGTATGATAGCTGTGATTTTGACACGTAGACTGTTTGGTTAATCGGATCATCTAATCTTGCGCTTTTAAGTGCGTCCTCAAAGTGGTTTCACCCCAACAAGCTGTAAGCATATACAGCTGAGAATTTTCCAGTAAGATTTACGCGCGATTGGTTCGAGGAGAGGCAACAATAAAAAAAAAAAAAAAAAGTGTGTTTGTTTGTTTGGATTCTTCTTCTACCGGGGAAGAAGAAAACCAAGCAAATCCCCTTTCAAAGTGCAAATGGCGTCTTCTCTGTGCTCCTCGTTGCAGAACCAGAGGAAAGAACGAGCCCGTCCCTTCATTTAACAGGCGGCGGCGGCGCTGTTTGCTTGCACGACGAAGACGACGACTACAGCCTTCAGGAAATTTATCTCCCTCTTTGTTTCCATTTGTGGAAATGAAAGTAACGACAAAGAGAAAGAAGAGAGAGTTCAACGACGACAATAAGATGTTTTTTGCTGGAGTCCGCTACCGTCTTCTCCTCTTTATCCATCTCCGCCACCGTCTCTTGCCCCTCGCCTCCGTCTCCTCAGCCTGTCTCCTTGTACTCGTCTTTGCCACCTACTGTCTCATCTCTCCCCCCGGCATCCTCCACAATCCCCAACTACGCCACTACGTTTCTGTATGCTTCCCTCTTCCTCCTCTCCATCTCTTTTCTTTCTATAAATACATGGATATGTATTTGGTATATAGTTATATTTCTACGAATACGATGATGTAGTCAATATATTTATATATGTTTTGCGTTCGTTTCGAGAGGTAGTGCACTACGGAGTGTGGATTCTCTGGATTTTTACATAATTATCTTCGTTGTCTTTTCCGCTTTGTAAATTCATGTTTGAGTTTATAGGTGACTCTTGTGACTTTAATCCGATTTTTTTTATTTTATTCGTTTAGTTTGATAATGGTCTGGAAATGGAATCGAAGTTCGATGTGGAGACGGTATTTCGAGTTCCGGTACGGAAAATTTTCTAAGCAAAATTCTTGTTTTTCGCTGCTTGTTCATGTTTCTTCCCTGTTTTTTTTCCTTGAGATAATGTGTTTTTAAAGTTGAATTTGTTGATATACCTTCGATAATATATATTTTTAAAATTGAATTGGTTGATATACTTTTCTAGCTTCGACTTTTCCCAGTGATGATTTTTTGACGGTAATCGTTTTAGTTGACAGAGAGGGTGGTTTTTGGCTTGTATCACAGGAAAGAGGAGGGAACCCAGATCATGATTTGTGGAGCTCGAGCCAATCTAAGTTCTATTTCGGTTGCAGTAAAGCCAGTGATAAATTTCAAAGTAAATTATTCATGAACATGTCACACAGAAATTTGTCCATTTTTTTGGAGCCAATATTTGTTTAGTTTTTCTTTCAAATATTTGTGGGGACTTTGTTAGCAGTTTCCTGGTAGTTCTGAGTATGAATCTAAAGTTGTCTATTGTCCCTAATTGAAACTAATATTGGTAGATTTGCGGTAATATAAATGCCTTGTGTTTTGATGCCGAAATTACTGATGTTTAAAACTCCATGGTTTCCCTATCCAGGATTTGATTTAGAATTAAGAGTTCTCTTTGGGAAAAAATTTTAAGGCTCCATTGTTCCCTCCTAAAGTTCTGTTGTTTGTTTGTTTCTTTTGTGTGATTTACTCTTGCGCTAAATATTATATGATCTGATATTTGTTGAATATGTGACAGTTGCTAATGAGAAAACACAGCCCAATCGCTATTTGTTGATAGTTACAAGCGGAGGCTTGAATCAACAGAGAACTGGGGTGAGTTTATATTTACTGAGAAACTGCAGCAGTGATTTCATTGATTGAATAATTGATTAATTTTCTAAGTGCAAAAGTCTATACCAAATTGGAATGGCTCTCTTCTGCAATAAGTGAAATGCCAGTCCTTTCTAATTCTCCCGAGAAAAAGAAATTACAGAAGTGAAAGAGCTACAACAGAATGAAGAAATTAATTGATATAATCTTTGTTTTGTTTAGTTTTTTAATGTTAGTGATGCGAAGGAATAGGATCATATGTGAATTAGAATCTGTACTATCTTATGATTGGGCATGTTTATGGACTCTGTGTATGGGACTCTGCTTACAGTCCATACCCTGTTTTGATTTATGTCTGTTCACCTTTAGAAGTGTGTAAACTTGGGTTCAGAGAATTTGCTATTTCTTAAGATTCTTTCATTTATACTCTTTGGCATCATTGTTAGCAAAGATGGAAGCTCTTTTATCCTTCTGCCTGCCATTCTTGAAGGCTGATGACTGATTGCATTTAATTTATTAATTCATGACTAGAATATGGTGCATGATAGACATTGTTGTTAAGTTTTTCTACTGAGGCTTTTTTGGTGTATTTTCGCTGTAGATAACTGATGCAGTTGTAGTAGCTTATATTTTGAATGCTACTCTCATTGTTCCCAAGTTAGACCAGAACTCTTACTGGAAGGACAGCAGGTTTTCATTCATATATGTATCTTCCATATATTGTAATTATCATAAGAAGTTGCTTAAATTCTGGAAAGGTGTATGCATTTTACGTGCTGACACGTGATTTGGTGTTTGGTGCAGCAACTTCGATCAAATCTTTGATGTTGAATGGTTCATTTCATTCCTATCGAAAGAAGTAAAAATTGTCAAAGAGCTCCCTGCAAAAGCAGGGAAAGTTACAATCCCTTCTATGCGTGTTCCAAGGAAGTGCAATGTAAAATGCTATCTTAACCGTGTTCTGCCTGTTCTTAACAAAAGACATGTAAGTTTTCAGCATCTATGAGAAGTTGCATCACGATTTTGGCAGCAAAAGTACTTCTTTCCACTGTGATGTTTGTTCAATTTCAACTTTCATTTTATTCATACCTTTTGTGTATTAGCAGAACACAGTAATATGATCACATATAACTCCAAGAAGTCGAGGTCTTCATCCTCCCTGTGTAGTCTTCTTTTCTTTTCTTTTTTTGTTGCTATGCTGTAGGAGTTGATGAAGCCTGAGGTTAGGCGTTTTGATTTATCCTATATCCTTTGCATTTCAAAGGTGAATGCTTGTCAGCTGTCTATCAAGCTAAGTAGCTGAAAGAAATCCTCTGTGCTAAATATGAAAGTTTCAGTTAGAACTCTGAATCCTCAATTTATTGGCATGTTTTGTTATGTGCTTTGATTCAGAGTTATTTATATCTCTGTTAAATAGATTTGACAACAATAGAGAACATTACTGGAAGCAGATGTAGCGAGAAGGCCTAGGTATTATTTTTACAATTGTGTTTTGTTATGAAGAGAATCATGAGTTTGCATCATGTTCAATCTTTTGTATTATTTGACTTTTGAGATTGTTATTGATGAAGATGATGTGTAATTTTTCGTACTTCGATTTTCTTGGCTTAACAAAAGCTTATTTGCTGGTTATCCTTTTTGCATTGCAGGTTCTTCAGCTCTCAAAGTTTGATTACAGACTTTCAAATAGGTTAGACAAAGATTTACAAAAGCTGAGATGTAGAGTTAACTACCATGCTTTGAAAATTTACCGATCCTATTCGTGAAATGGGTAAAAAATTGGTGGAGAGGATGAGGATGAAAACCAATCATTTCATTGCTCTTCACTTGAGGTAAAAAGTGCAATATTACCTGTTAGATTATATGTGGAAGTTTGTGTCTTCTATTCATTCTATTATTTTATTATTCTCAAAATTCTGTTCCAGTTACTTTTGTGATATTATGAGATTTTTTAAGCCTTTTTATGAGATTTTGCTGCAGAAGGATACCTTTGTTAATGCAAGTTTGTGTATCATGTAATAGATTTGAACCTGATATGCTTGCCTTCTCTGGTTGCTATTATGGTGGAGGAGAAAAGGAGAGAATGGAACTTGGTGAAATCCGAAAGAGGTGGAAAACTTTACGCGTCAGTGCCCCTTAACTCCTCAAGTTCTCACAAAGAAAATGGGTGCCATCAATAATTTATAGGATTCTCCTGACATTAATTTGTGACATCATGCAGAAACCAAATCCTGACAAAGGACGAAGACATGGAAGATGCCCACTCAGTCCAGAGGAAATTGGTCTTGTGCTGAGAGCATTGGGCTATGGCAGTGATGTTCACTTATATGTGGCGTCAGGTGAAATATATGGAGGTGAAGAGACATTAGCACCATTGAAAGCACTTTTTCCGAATTTTCATACAAAGGAGACCATAGCAACCCAAGAGGAATTGGCACCATTTATAACATTTTCTTCTCGCATGGCTGCGCTGGACTTCATTGTTTGTGATGAAAGTGATGTTTTTGTCACGAACAACAATGGCAACATGGCTAGAATGTTAGCTGGACGGAGGTAAGTTGCTCTTTTTTTGCTGTTGTTTTTTTGTCTACAGTCAGCAATTCTGATAATGGCATTAAATCATATTCGTTTTTTTTCCTATTATAGTAATATATAGAGATTTGTTCATAATGTTCTATTTCAAGACATAATAATAGTTGCTTTCATCTTTTCAGTATATGAAACCCTTATGTTATCTGAAATTATTCTCTTCTGGCTTTAGCCTTTGTGATTGCAATCAATTCCAGAATGATTGCGATCCCCAGCTACTTAATTGTTCACATGTTTGATTTTGGCCAGGAGATACTTTGGGCACAAACCAACAGTCCGTCCAAATGCCAAAAAACTGTACAAGCTCTTCCTAAACCGAAATAACATGACATGGGATGAATTTTCATCGAGTGTTAGAACTTATCAGATTGGCTTCATGGGAGAGCCCAATGAGTGGAAGCCAGGAATGGGAGAGTTCCATGAAAACCCATCGTCCTGCATATGTGAAGATTCTGAAGCAATGGCAAGCAAAATTCCAGCTCTTCATCAACAAACTCATGATGGCCACAGAAAGGGTACGAAGAATATGATTCAGGGTATAGTTGGTGCCAATGGCGAGCATGGATTTGAGAATGAGAAAAAAGATTACGTGGGGAGTACCAAGGATTCTGGTGATTCAACCGAGGAGCTGGCAAGTGAGGATGAGCAAGAATGGTTCGACACGGATTATGCAGAGGATTTAATTATTCTTCCCGGTAAAGACGTGTCCCATGAAACATATTTAGATGGCAATTTATCAGGTAAAACAGATCACCCAGAAGTAGAAGAGTTCTTTTCAGATTAAATGAAGTTAAGACTCCAATATTGGATGACCTAATGCGTACAGTGCCTAATTCCATTTTACATTGAACTCATGGGTCCTTTGACGGGAGAGCTCCGTGTATATAAACATCTAGGTAAAATTGGTAGTTTCTCTGGTGGAAGATTTGCCGAGCTCACAGTTGGAGCCGTAAGGATTCGAGGCTGCATTGTCATGGAAGTTCCCTGTGGGTATAAACATTTGAAGGAGACTCTTGCTGTAAGGTAGAGGGTGTAAGAAAAAAAGAGTAGGTTTTACTCATAAAAGCTATCTTTCTAATATTTTTCTATAGGCAAGCCACAGATTTTATATAGGGAACGGAAAGTTAAAAGGATAGAAAAAATTCTTTAGTTTGTAAAGTGAAAAAACTGAAGGAAATTGTAATGAGGTTCATTTTTTCCTAATATGGCGAAGAGTGTGCGATCATAAACTGCCTATCACTTCCATTACTTCTGATGATACCAGTCTAAAAAGTATATCCGTACATGTTAAATTTTAGGCTAAAATAATTTTTTGGTATTTGTACTATTCGTTTTGTTTTTTTCTCAAATTAGTTTCTGTTTCTGTTTTGGATTAAATTAGTTTCTAAATTCTTGAAAGTTACATATGGATTAATTTAACTAAATCCATTTTTTTTTTTGAATTGAAAATCTAAAAAACTAATTTAAACAAAAATAAATAGTACATAAACTAAATTATTATTTTAGCCTTAAAAATCTTACATATGTTTTCCATTTTATTTTTTTTCTTTTTTAATTCAGCAGCTGTCATCTATAAGTGCATATTATAACGGCTCCATGTTTTGCAAAAATTTGTCCCCCCATGATGTTAAACCGCCGTCGGTGATAACGTCAAAGTAACTGCTCAAACGGTGTCGTTTTCTTCAGGGCCGGGCTGAATTTATGGAGCAGCGAAGTTTTCAGGCCCATGCACTGCAAATTTGTTGAACAAGAACAATGTTCCACGCTTCCAAAAGCATTGTTTGACTGAAACGGCATCGTAACAGCCATACGACGAAAAAAGGCCGAGTCTGAAATGAAGCTGAACAGATGTGTCAAACTGTCAACTTGTAATCCATTTCATAGACTGACGTGGCAAGATTGACATCCATTATTCTCTGTACATTCACTCTCTCTCTCTCTCTCTCTCTCTCTCTCTCTCAGTAACCAGAGAGCAATGGCGTGTAGTAGGCTCCCCACTCAACTGGCGATACCTGGCAACATCCACCACCGCCACCTCTCCAAACTAAACGGCGGCACACTGTGCTGGAGACGCAATTTAGCAGCTGAACCTCTTCTCTTCCCTACCCTCTCCTCGCCCATTTCTCTCTCCAGTAATTAATTATCCCCAATCTCGAAAATTCCTCGTCATTAGTTTTGACTTTTTATGATTATCAATTCTTAAAAGTGGTTATGTGGGTGTGGTGGATTCGTTTGTTAACAGGGAAATCCTCGAATGTGCAAAGGACGGTGGTCACATGCAGCGCGGGTGGGGCAGTGAATGTGGGGCCAGGGACTCCGGTGAGGCCGACGAGCATTCTGGTGGTGGGTGCCACCGGCACTCTTGGCCGACAGATCGTGCGGCGAGCGCTCGACGAAGGGTATGACGTGCGGTGTCTGGTCCGACCCAGACCTGCTCCCGCTGACTTCCTCCGTGATTGGGGCGCCACCGTTGTTAATGTACGATTTCTATTACCTGTAACTAGCATTTACATTGTTTTCACTTTTCTGTCCTTCCTTTTCTTTTATGTTCTTGTTTGGAGTCGTTGGGTTTTGTTTATGATTACTCAAATTTCATTCATAGAAACAGAACACAAACAGAGAAGGTAGCTGATACATGTATAGCAACAATTTTACGCGTTGTAGCTGTGTTCATTTAAGATTTTGTGTATTGATATTATGTTAGCTTCTTCGAGCAGGGAGATCTTAGTAAACCTGAGACGATACCTGCAACATTGGTTGGAATTCATACGGTAATTGATTGTGCTACTGGGCGTCCAGAGGAGCCGATAAAAAAGGTATTTTTTTCAATATTTCCATCTTTAACTTCCAAAATTTAGCCTGAAATGTCAGAAAACTCAGTATGTCCTTGTTATTTTAAGTGTTGTTTTCCAATTCAACGATGTATCTTGTGGAATAAAAGACGTCTTACTTTTGTCAAGGAAAGAGTGGCATCTATTTGCTTTGGAAGAGGGGTGAGAAAGATGAACGTGTAAATGCAGTAACCGAGTATTGATACTTTTTATCTTTTAGTATAGAAGCTGTATATATAATTTGTATGCGTTTGTTTCCCAATCCTCAGATATCTGATAATTTTCCATATTTCAAGACGTGCTGCAATCATGTTTTACTATTAATTGTTTTCCTTTATCTGATCTTTCTATTCTGTTTAGGTAGATTGGGAAGGAAAAGTTGCTCTTATACAATGTGCAAAAGCAATGGGAATTCAGAAATATGTATTCTATTCCATCCACAACTGTGACAAGCATCCTGAAGTTCCACTAATGGAGATCAAGTATTGTACTGAGAAGTTTCTTCAGGACTCTGGCCTAACTCACATTATAATCCGATTATGTGGTTTCATGCAAGTAAATGTCACCTGAGTGAAACTCTGGGGTTTTTTTTTACTATAATCTCACCTGCAGCTGTTTGATTTTTTATTTTTCATCTCTGTTTCGATCATTAATTAAAAACTATTACAAGCTTTTGTATCTGTGAAGTGGCTGTTTTAAGAGTTTACGCTGAGGATGCCATGAAATCGTTGACCCTGGAGATGGCTTTTTAACATACCAAATAGGTTGACGAAAGAAGCAATTTCTTCCTTGAGAAAAATTCAGCACCCAGAGACACTATCTAGCTTTTATTTAGTATTAAGTAAACAAATTTAATTTCATGAGAAAATATTCATGTCTTGAACATTGACCTACCACAAAGCTTGATGACTGGAGACAATGGAAAGACATTGTGTGTAAAAGTGTGGATGTTTCTTCTTTTTTTTCTTTGTTACTGCGTCTTTGCTTTACTTTAGAAATATCCTACCTGGTGTTATTTGTCCAATCCTGTGACAAATGGTTGTTCGTTGTCCAGGGCCTTATTGGGCAATATGCAGTACCGATATTAGAAGAGAAATCTGTTTGGGGAACGGATGCTCCCACACGAATTGCTTACATGGACACCCAGGTAAAATATGATTAAATTTTGTTGCTAAGTTTGCAAAGACAGCTAAATTACATTATTTACCTTCCCATAGCATCTGAACATGTTTATATTTGCCATCAGGACATAGCTCGGTTAACATTCATAGCTTTACGCAATGAGAAAATAAATGGGAAGCTGCTCACATTTGCTGGACCTCGCGCATGGACAACCCAAGAGGTATGCAGGAAATTCACCAACTTTGTTGGCTGGTTCTAGGTTCATATGCCCCTGCATGATAGTCACTTACTGTCCATTAGGAGTAAGTAACAAATATTGTCTTGAACATATTATTTCTTGTCATTCCTCACTGAGGAGGTCAGAATTATTTCCTTGAAACTATCGGTTTTCTTTTCTTCCTTTTGCAAAGTAAGTGGTCAGTGCATTTGGACGAAAATGAATGATGCATATTGTTTCTTCTTTTAGGTGATAACTTTATGCGAGAGGCTTGCAGGGCAAGATGCAAATGTTACCACAGTTCCTGTATCAATATTGAGGTTCACTCGTCAGCTGACTCGATGTTTTGAGTGGACAAATGATGTTGCCGATAGATTGGCTTTTTCGGAGGTAAAAAAAAAAAATCCCTGGATAACCCTTCTACTTCAGTTAATTTTCTCGATGAAGCAAGAGGTTCTGAGGAATATTAATGTCATGGAAAGTATAAAATCTTCTCCAATTGGTTTTTTTTTTTTTTTTTTTTTTTTTTGAAATACCAAGTGGGTTTTTATATACATGCACAAATACACTGCTATTTTTAACATTCATTAATCTGTCCTGTCCAATCGATATAATCAATTCCGAGATTGAAAATTTCCAATGATAATGTATTTTTCTAGTTTTGTATCAATTGAACTTATTGGTAGTTTCTTAATCTCTAGAATGTGAGATTGTTTTAAACACTACGTGTTCCATTTTACTGTCAATCACTCAATGATCTTGAGGAAGGGAATCTCTTGTTTCAAAATTTTCAGACTGTTGATCTATTTTTCCATAGGAATCAACTCAAATCATGCACTGTTTGTACAAACTAATATCAAAACGTAGAAGGAAACAGTAATCAAATAATATGTTCCACAGGCAAGTCAAAACTAATTATCCACATATGCTGCAGTGCAATACCGCCTTTAATGTCTTTGTCATTAGATATTGCATTATTTGGATTCTGAGTTTAAATAGCATTTATGTTGTGTATTAACATACACAATCTGGAATACTGATGTTTTGCGGATTGTGGTATGTTGTAGGTCCTTACAAGTGATATTGTTTTCTCCGTTCCAATGACCGAGACATTTAATCTACTCGGTGTGGACTCAAAAGACATTGTTACACTAGAGAAGTACTTGCAGGATTACTTCACAAATATATTGAAGAAATTGAAAGACCTCAAAGCTCAATCAAAGCAAACTGACTTCTACATCTGAGAGCAGAGCATCTTGCAAATGTGGATAATGCTGTGTCTGTAAGTAAAACCTATGTATCTAGTTATTCACTTGCATTGTTCAATGTTCTCACCTTTTTGTTTTATTTTGTTTCTCAGTTTCCTCTTGCACGATAAAAAGTGCCTTCTTTTCCATAGGACAAAGGTTTCATTATTGTAAATGTTGATATGTACTAATGTAATTTATTGTGTATTCTTTTCAAAGGGAAACTAACATAATATTCTTAGTGATAATATTATCTGATAAGATATTGTTATGTACTTTGATAAGATCTTATTGTTTCTTAAATGAATTTTACTCTAAGGTGAATTTTCACTTGTAGCTTTTGTATAAATAGAACTCATAAATGAAACCATTCTTCAGTAAGTAAAGTTACATGATATCAGAGTGTCCTCTCAAAAATATTTCCACCACCAAAATTGATGTGGCTTTCAACTCTTTCTTTTCTCTTCCTTCTAAGATCTTCCACCCTTCTGTTGGAGTTTCTGAGATAAGAAATTATATTAGTGAAACTCTAAACATCACTTTTGTGATATGGAAATCATATTTTATTCCTGTTTTTTAAGGTTACGGTATTTTTGATCATATTTATGGAACAAATATGTGCTCTTTTTAACCATTACAGGCAAGGAAAAACCTAACCCAGAAGCAAGTGGATTCTTTAGTTCTTTTTTGGATCCAAGCAAATGTTTCCTCAGATATCCTACGTAGCCTACTAAAGCCCAATCAAACATTAATGGCTGGTCAGGCATGGCAAGAGATTAATTTATAACGAAGCACATGCTCAACTCCTACACCTAAAATATGAATTCTGCAACACTCAGAAAAATTGATCTCCTCATTGATGCTTACCTCCAAAAACTCAAAACCTTATATGATCTCTTAGCTCTAAAGAACATGCTTTACCAGAAGAGAATCTTGAGCTTTAGATTCTTGAAGGTGTAACCATTAACCATGAAAATGCAGTCATTAGCCTAACTCCTCACAGACCTCTTCCATCCTTTGTTGAATTATGAATGCCCCCTATTTGCAAGAAATGCGTCTCACCAAGTACCAAAAACCAACTTCCACAGCTGGTCCAGTTGCATTTTATACCTATTCCATCTCTACATCATCGAACAAAAACACAAAATCCTTTTGTAACTGCAACAATCAACACCACCACAAAGGTCGTGGATGTGGAAGAGGTCACGAAAATAACACTTGTGGAGCTTGCAGTCCACGTCCTCAAAACCACTCTTCCAGCCTGGTTAGCCATCCACCCTCTACTAGCCAAGGGTTACTTGGTTTTGTGCCTCTTGAATCTGTCATCAACTCCTCTTTGCAGTGTCAATTCTGTTTATAGCTTTTCCATACAGCACGGAAGTGTCCTCTGCTAACTCGTTCCTTCACATCTCTTTTTCTCCCTCTACGGATGGTGTCTGAAAATCCTTTGCTGCTTTTCAATATTAATGAACAACTAGAAAATTTCTAACCCTCAAACACTAGTGCTATGTCTCACAAGTTTGCACACCCTGGCAATCTTTTTTCTTTCTCCTCTTATTATGGTTTTAGAAGGAGTATGTTTCACAAGTTTGCATTCCATCCCATCTCCAGTTTTGGTTTTACAGTCATTCCTTTTTCCTCTTCCAACTCACTCTCATTGAATGATATTCTTGTTATACCTTCAGTCAAAGCAACTTTAGTTTATGTTAAACAATTCACTCGAGATAATAATTGTTCTATGGAATTTAAATGATTTGATTTTTGCGAGGATCTCACAATAAGGACTTCACTTCTTCATTGCAACTGTCTGGGTGATTTTTACTTCTTTCCTTCTAAGCTCACTGTCATATCCTCTTTTACTTGCTCATGTCAAATCCGCCTACTTTGCATCCTCTAATATGCAAGACTTGTGGCATCGAGGCTTTGGTCATTGCATTATCTATACTTTAGTCGAAATAAAGCAGATATTAACAACACCTTTAGGATCTATCTCTAGTTCTTGCTTAACTTGTAATTTAGGAAAGAATGTTGGACACTCTTTCCCTATGTCTCATATCAATGTATTTACTCCTGTTGAAATAATACACAATGATGTCTGGACATGTCCTATTCATGGGCATTTCCTCTAAATGGAAAATCTCAAGTCTTTGAGACTTTCACCCATTTTTATACCTTTATTCACACTCAATCCTAAGTCAAAATCAAAAACTCAGTGTGATACAGGTGGTGAATTTCTCAACAAAAAATTTCCTGATGTTGCGTCTCAAAATTACTCCCAAAGAAAATGGCAAAATCTAATGTATGCATCGGAGCTTAATCAGAATCATTTGTTCTATGTTAATTGAAGCTTCAATTCCTCCCAAGTTTTTGGATGAGGCATTGCACCTGTTGTCCATGTGTTAAATCGCTTGCTGGCTGTGATTTCTCACAAAACACCCTTCAAGAGGCTGTTTGGACAGTAGTCCTATTTCCTCTTTATTCAGATGTGTTGATTTTATCAATGTTATCCATTTACTTAATTCAAATTCAAATTCAAAGTAGGTTGTGAAGAAAGTGCCTCACCGCAGCCTGCGCAGCTGCCATGCAGCGTGTTTACATGAATCTCTGGGTTTAATTTTTTCGGGTCATCTTTGGTGTAATCAAGCACAACTCCGTACTTATAAATGTAATCGTGCAATACAATAATATTAGTTTTTTCTTCTCTTGAAAAATAAAAATCAATATCCTTCTGCAATTAAAGAAACATAGGGTGCTGCAGTTTTGTACTCTGTTTTGTAGTTCTCTCTCTCTCCTTGACTCTCTCTCTCTAAATTTGCTCACCGTCTCAACTTCTTTTGAAGCTGTTACTCATCCGATCCAACAAGTGGTATCAGAGCCAAGTTTTCCTACGTATCAGGTGAATCAAAAATTCCTCAAACCCGATGGCTACCTTAGGAACTACCCTTGCTCCGCAGTTCAACGGAGAAAATTACCATGTGTGGGCAAAAAAGATGCGAGCTCACCTCAAAGCTCTGGGTTTATGGGATGTTATTATAAACGATAGTGAACCAACCCCACTACAAGAAACTGCTACATTGAACCAGATTAAAAGACACGAGGAAGAGAAGGCCAAGAAACCAAAAGTAATTGTCTGCCTTTTCTCGGTGGTTTCGGACAGGGTTTTCTCTAAGATTATGAACTATGAATTACCCAAGGAAGCGTGGGAGAAACTGAAGGAAGAGTTTGATGGAGGAGATAGAAGCAAGAAGATTAAACTATTGAGGCTGAAAAATGAGTTTGCATTATTCAGAATGTAAGAAAATGAGTCTGTTAGGGACTATGCCTCCAAACTCTCGGATATTGTGAATAAAATGAGATTGTTGGGGGAGGACTTTCCTGAATTAAAGGTGGTAGAACAAATTCTTATAAGTTTACCATCAAAATTTGAGTCTAAAATCTCAGCCTTGGAGAAACTTGTAGATATTGATAAGATTTCTTCAGCTGAACTAATCAATAAGTTGCAATCACAGGAGTAACGTGTCACATGCATGCTCGTGTACCTACTGAAGGAGCCTTATTCTCGTCTCAAACCAAAGCTACCCCTTCAAATCAGAATCAAGGCAGATGGATTGAAAGAAATCAAACTGGAAACCAAAGTTTCAGAAAACAGAAGAAGTATTCTCCTTGCAACATCTGCTCCCTCACAAATCATCTTGAGAGTGAATGATGGTACAAGGGAAAGAAAGCTGTCCGATGCAACTTCTGCAAAAGACTTGGCCACAAGGAGAAGTTCTGTAGGCAAAAATAGAAGCTGGAAGCAGCACAATCTAATTAGGAGTTGCAGCATGTAAATGTCACTGAGATATCCAGTGAGCAAAGTAATACAATTCTTGTTGCTTCAAGTGAATTGACAGTGGAAGATGATAGCCTCTGGGTTGTTGATAGTGGTTGCACTTCTCACATGTGCAAGAATGAAGCCATGTTTGTGTCACTTGACAAATCAGCAACAGGCCAAGTAAGACTTGGAAACGGTATGCTGGAATCGATAAAAGACAAAGGTAATGTTGCTATAGAAACGAGGGAAGGTAAGAAACTTATCACTGATGTGAATTTCGTTCCCACTCTCTCTCAAAATCTGCTTAGTGTAAATCAAATGACCAATAATGGATACTCAATTTCATTCAAAAATCAATGCTGTAGAATCCATAATCCTGAAGACAGATTGATTGCTCTCATTCCAAAAAGAAACCAGGCGTATTCCTTGAATCTCCAAGAAGTAGTTGAAAAGGCAAACGATGTCACAATACCTAAAGGGAAGCTGTGGCATAGACGTTTTGGTCATTATCATGTTGCTGGGTTACTTCAGTTGTAGAAGGGAGACCTAACCAAGGATCTTCCAAATATATGAGTTACCAAAAAGGTTTGTGGTGTCTGCCAGTTGGGAAAAATGGCTCGACAGGCATTTCCTACTCAGACAGATTGGAGGGCAAATCAAAAGCTTGCACTAATTCACTCGAACATATGTGGTCCAATGAGTAAAAATTCAATGAATGAAAACAGGTATTTTGGTTTATTTGTTGATGATTTTACCAGGATGACTTGGGTGTGCTTTCTGCAGAACAAAGTTCAGATAGTAGACGAATTCAAAAGATTTAAAGTCATGACAGAGAAGGAATGTGGCTGTGTGTTGAAGTGCTTAAGAACAGACAATGGACTTGAGTTCAATTCCGGTGAATTTAAAGAATTTTTCTCTAAAAATAAGACCAAACGACAACTCACAGCACCATATTCTCCGCAACAGAATGGTGTCTCGGAGAGGAAGAATAGAACCATCGTGGAAATGGCAAAAAGTATGCTTGCTGACAAACATTTACCAAAAGTGCTTTGGGCTGAGGCAGTAAACACTGCTGTGTTTCTGCTCAACATGTTGCCCACAAAGGCAGTGGAAGGAATGACACCCGTGGAGGTCTGGAATGACATCAAACCATCAACTCAGCATCTAAAAGTGTTTGGGTCGATTTGCTACTGTCATGTTTCAGATGACAGAAGAACAAAGCTGGACAAGAAGGCTGAATTGGATTTGTTTTTAGGATACAGTGCAGAAGCAAAAGCATATCGGGTTTTGAGCTTGAAAAGCAATAAGCTCATGATCCGGAGAGATGTGTTAGTAGATGAAACAAGCTACTGGAATTGGGAGAAAAGAAAAATAGAAACAGATTGTTTAACTGTTGAAGCTAGAACCAAATCTAGTGCAACTCTAATATCTAGC